TTAATCTAGACTTGTGTTAATCTAGACTTGTGTTAATCTAGACTTGTGTTAATCTAGACTTGTGTTAATCTAGACTTGTGTTAATCTAGACTTGTGTTAATCTAGACTTGTGTTAATCTAGACTTGTGTTAATCTAGACTTGTGTTAATCTAGACTTGTGTTAATCTAGACTTGTGTTAATCTAGACTTGTGTTAATCTAGACTTGTGTTAATCTAGACTTGTGTTAATCTAGACTTGTGTTAATCTAGACTTGTGTTAATCTAGACTTGTGTTAATCTAGACTTGTGTTAATCTAGACTTGTGTTAATCTAGACTTGTGTTAATCTAGACTTGTGTTAATCTAGACTTGTGTTAATCTAGACTTGTGTTAATCTAGACTTGTGTTAATCTAGACTTGTGTTAATCTAGACTTGTGTTAATCTAGACTTGTGTTAATCTAGACTTGTGTTAATCTAGACTTGTGTTAATCTAGACTTGTGTTAATCTAGACTTGTGTTAATCTAGACTTGTGTTAATCTAGACTTGTGTTAATCTAGACTTGTGTTAATCTAGACTTGTGTTAATCTAGACTTGTGTTAATCTAGACTTGTGTTAATCTAGACTTGTGTTAATCTAGACTTGTGTTAATCTAGACTTGTGTTAATCTAGACTTGTGTTAATCTAGACTTGTGTTAATCTAGACTTGTGTTAATCTAGACTTGTGTTAATCTAGACTTGTGTTAATCTAGACTTGTGTTAATCTAGACGTGTGTTAATCTAGACTTGTGTTAATCTAGACTTGTGTTAATCTAGACGTGTGTTAATCTAGACTTGTGTTAATCTAGACTTGTGTTAATCTAGACTTGTGTTAATCTAGACTTGTGTTAATCTAGACTTGTGTTAATCTAGACGTGTGTTAATCTAGACTTGTGTTAATCTAGACGTGTGTTAATCTAGACGTGTGTTAATCTAGACTTGTGTTATTATCAATAAAATTGATACATTAATGAGCGACCCCCCTCCCCACTCCCAACACGCTCCTCTTTTTTTTTATGCCCTCTCGAATTCTAATTTTTTAAATTTTTTTTTCACTAAGTGCTCTTTTTTAAAATGTGATTCTCTTTTTTCTGTTGTTTGTTAGCTGGCGAAGGCTTCTTGTCGACACGTTCATTGTTCTGTTGCATTACTTTTTTTTTCCAGGTTTTCCCATAACTCAGTTTTACTCATTTCCTCTTTTTTTTCGCCCTCATTGAAAAATTTCTATTATTAAGAACACTGATTAATTGCTCCCGTATTAATGTTAATTATTGAAGCAAAATAAAGGAGATGTAAACAATATAGTTATATAGAGGTATATATAGAGGTATATATAGAGGTATATATAGAGGTATATATAGAGGTATATATAGAGGTATATATAGAAGTATATATAGAGGTATATATAGAGGTATATATAGAAGTATATATAGAAGTATATATAGAGGTACATAAAGAGGTATTTAAAAAAAAAAAACATAAAACACTATGGTCTTTATTACACTTGTGTAACCGCCATCTTGTAGGTTTCTCATCTCCCAGCAGAAGTTAGCCAACAACAGTCCCGTAAGTGTACTCTAAACCGTGTTGTTTCCATACCACTTGGACAAGATGGTCAACTCCAATTAAGGTCAGATTTAGACGAAATCATGTCACAGCCACCTCACCACGTTCTTTCCAGCTCTGAAATGGGGGTTTTGACATAATTGTAGCGGGAGGCAAAGTCAACAGACGGGATGGACGGGCAAGAACGAGAGCGCCGTCACAGGTGACGTCTTCAGGTGTGGACCAGGTAAGCACTTAGAGCGGCGGTGCTCACTCCTTCAACGGCGACGACCCCGTGAGACCAGCACAGTACCCCAGCTGTGAAAATCACTTTACCCGGTACCACAAATGAAGTTTTTAAATTTTTTTTTTTTTTTTTTTTTTTTACATTGAGGAATGCAACCCTGGCACTGGGTCAACTAAACAAGTGAGATCCACTGCACCAGAGGAAGACGGCTTACTTACTCCACCTTGTACACCAGGCAGACCAGCAGTCACTAGACCACTTTGGCCACTTCCAGACGACGCGTTAAGCGAGCGCACTGAACGTTACAAAAGCTGGATGCTACGACAGCTGGGTGCCTTGAATGTGATAGTGGTTCGAAGTTGAGGATATAACAAAAGTTGTTGTTTTTTGTTGAAGGTACGGATAGAGATGAAAGCCTACGTGAAAGATCTTAAAGTGTATTTAGACTAAATTGCATAAGGCAAGATGTAGTTAGTCTAGTCTCCTTTTCCACAGTATTAAGTCACAATGCGCGCAAAAATATGACGTTCTTATATTTTTGTCCACCACGAAAAACAACGCCTGCTTACAAGAGTTGAAAAAATAATGCCCAGTTCGCTCGTTTCGGTTTAACACAGATGTCATTTTAAACGCATGCAGTGTGTTGTTACGGTGTCAAACAGTGAATGTTAGAGCAATGTGAGGGATTTTGAGGGTACAGAGGAGACAACTGAATTGGAAACATAGAGAAGACCACTGAATTAGACGATTCCGGAATTTGTTGCACAGAGAATACACCGGAAATTAGATGCATAGAGCGTATACTATCTTCGACCACGCCACAGTACCAAACAGCATGCACATTGTCAACGCTCATGATTGTACGACATGGTGACGACATCACCGGTCAGGACACCCGAGCACTTAGCACTTCGCTTTGCTGGGCATCCCTTTATCCAGCTACCCGTGTGTCCAAAAAAAAAAAATGACACCGTTCACATCGCTCTGGTATTTCTTTCAAGAGAATCCCTGATGTTGTCATTCTGTTAATTTTTCTTTCTTTTTTTTTTTCGTTAAAATATTGGCAACACATATGTGATAAATACAGGTTTAGGTCGTAGAGGTTTTTTTGTCTTCTTCTTCTTGCCATAATTAAGAAGCTGCACCCCTCTATGTCTTCAGCCCAAAAGACCCCACAGCGAGACAATGTCCATCCAACGTCAAGTCCCCATCGCGATGGAGCCGAGCAGGTTAGATTTCTCGGACGCTTTCTTCAGGGACCCGATGTTTGCCAGCTTCAGAGATCCCATGACTTACAGGGACCCCACGAGGGATCTCTTCGCCCAGCGAGACCTTGTCAGGGATCCGTTCGTTCGAGATCCCATCAGGGATGCGTTTGTTCGAGATCCCATCAGGGATGCAGCTGGTAAGTGTGTGTGTGGGGGGGGGGAGGACGGACCCCCAACTGGGGTTAAAATTAAAAATCAAACAAAAATAACACAGTAGCATCCCTTTACTCTTTACTTACACATCACATAACAACATGGTCGTGTGTCGCTATAATTAGTACGCATGCAATCACCAAACTTGTAGACATTAATAATGGGGTCATTGATGATGATATAAACATCTGAAAAGCAAACGATGAATCCTTGTGAATAAACGATACCGGTATTCCACGCACAATGACAATCACCCAATTCGTGAATTTTAATACTGTATGGAATAAATGTCTCGTGTCCAGTGTACCCGGCTGCCGTGGGGCCAGTGAGCACACTACCCCTGTCCAGGGCGTTCTTCAACCCCGAGCGTCAGCTGGGCGTCATGGACACCGACCTGCAGAGGATGGCGACCGAGATGAGGCGAATGTTCAGTGACATGCAGCACCTCATGCCAGTCGATGCCAACCCAGAGAGTTGGAGGATGAAGGTATGTGGGGGTGATGGGTTGCTAGCCCAGAGAGTTGGAGGATGAAGGTATGTGGGGGTGATGGGTTGCTAGCCCAGAGTGTGGGAGGATGAAGGTATGTGGGGTGATGGGTTGCTAGACCAGAGAGTTGGAGGATGAAGGTATGTGGGGGTGATGGGTTGCTAGACCAGAGAGTTGGAGGATGAAGGTATGTGGGGTGATGGGTTGCTAGCCCAGAGAGTTGGGGGATAAAGGTATGTGGGGTGATGGGTTGCTAGCCCAGAGTGTGGGAGGATGAAGGTATGTGGGGTGATGGGTTGCTAGACCAGAGAGTTGGACCATGAAGGTATGTGGGGTGATGGATTGCTAGCCCAGAGGGTTGGAGGATGAAGGTATGTGGGGAGATGGGTTGCTAGCCCAGAGAGTTGGAGGATGAAGGTATGTGGGGTGATTAGTTGCTAGCCCAGAGGGTTGGAGGATGAAGGTATGTGGGGAGATGGGTTGCTCGACCAGAGAGTTGGAGGATGAAGGTATGTGGAGTGATGGGTTGCTAGCCCAGAGTGTGGGAGGATGAAGGTATGTGGGGTGATGGGTTGCTAGCCCAGAGAGTTGGAGGATGAAGGTATGTGGGGTGATGGATTGCTAGACCAGAGAGTTGGGGGATGAAGGTATGTGGGGTGATGGATTGCTAGACCAAAGAGTTGGGGGATGAAGGTATGTGGGGCAATCGGTTGCTAGCCCAGAGAGTTGGAGGATGAAGGTATGTGGGGTGATGGGTTGCTAGACCAGAGAGTTGGAGGATGAAGGTATGTGGTGTAATCGGTTGCTAGCCCAGAGAGTGGGAGGATGAAGGTATGTGGGGTGATGGGTTGCTAGCCCAGAGAGTTGGAGGATGAAGGTATGTGGGGTGATGGGTTGCTAGCCCAGAGAGTTGGAGGATGAAGGTATGTGGGGTGATGGGTTGCTAGCCCAGAGAGTTGGAGGATGAAGGTATGTGGGGTGATGGATTGCTAGACCAGAGAGTTGGGGGATGAAGGTATGTGGGGCAATCGGTTGCTAGCCCAGAGAGTTGGAGGATGAAGGTATGTGGGGTGATGGTTTGCTAGACCAGAGAGTTGGAGGATGAAGGTATGTGGGGTGATGGGTTGCTAGCCCAGAGAGTTGGAGGATGAAGGTATGTGGGGTGATGGATTGCTAGCCCAGAGAGTTGGAGGATGAAGGTATGTGGGGTGATGGATTGCTAGACCAGAGAGTTGGGGGATGAAGGTATGTGGGGCAATCGGTTGCTAGCCCAGAGAGTTGGAGGATGAAGGTATGTGGGGTGATGGTTTGCTAGACCAGAGAGTTGGAGGATGAAGGTATGTGGTGTAATCGGTTGCTAGCCCAGAGAGTTGGAGGATGAAGGTATGTGGGGTGATGGGTTGCTAGACCAGAGAGTTGGAGGATGAAGGTACGTGGTGTAATCGGTTGCTAGCCCAGAGAGTTGGAGGATTAAGTAAGGCGGATTAGTGAACATCAACACAGAGGGCTGGATGATATTGGTAAGGGGGATAATCGGATGTTAACCCAGAGAGCTGGGTGGGGTGTATGTTTAAGATAAAGGGGAAGAACTTCATAAGGGAGATCAATCTATATATTTGGTTGCTATTTATTATCAAATGTAAAGAATGCGAGTTTGAACTCTACCTTTATATTTCTTTCCCTCTAATTCTTAGGTCTAGCTGACTTAAGTCGAACGATTTAAGTCATCAGACTTATTTTGTAATTTAAATCTAGTGACTTTTTGCTCTTAATAAAATTTGAGAGCTTATTATAATTCTGCATGCGGACGTCCACATCCGTGGTGGGGGTTAACCCACATGCGGAAAAGTGTGGACAAGGGAAAAGAGCACACTTTTTGCCGACATCCTCTATGAGCAAACGCCTAAGGGAGACTTAATCCCAGCCACGAGAAGCTCATGTATCGAGTCTTATTTGTGAGATTGAGCTTGACGACGTGATCATTTTAGTCACTATGGAACACTGACGAATTCATGACTAAAAATTTGATTAGAAGTATTGATGAGAAGCGCGAGGTAAATGTAGCATTCAACGAACCCTTACAATACAACTGCTCTATTTGAACAATGTTGCAGGAGAACTTCCACCTGGACAATCCAGTTCACCAGGACCAGATGTCCGGACGAAATATTTTCCGGCTCCAGTTTGACGTGCGTCAATTCAAGCCAGAGGAGATCTTCGTCAAAACACTTGGAAAGTAGGACACGCGATTAAACTGTTTTTTTTTTTTTTTTTTTAAATAAGCATGGGGATAGGGAAGAAAGGCTTTTTTCAACAATACTAATTCTTTCCATAAAAGTGGAATATTTTTCAGTCAAAAATATCCCCATTTAGCTTTACAACANGGACACGCGATTAAACTGTTTTTTTTTTTTTTTTTTTAAATAAGCATGGGGATAGGGAAGAAAGGCTTTTTTCAACAATACTAATTCTTTCCATAAAAGTGGCATATTTTTCAGTCAACAATATCCCCATTTAGCTTTACAACACGCCAGTGAGCTTGGAGGTTTGCTATCAACTTTTTACACAGCAACTCTGACACACGTATGCCACAAAGCTAATGAAGACGGAAGAACTGATAGGTGCTCTTCAAATTAATTGACATTGATCAATGAACTCATAATGTACAGACCATGTATAAACAACGCATATGTCAAATCTGTCATTAAATCTAACCAAATACTGGCATATGTCATGTTCACAGTCAGCTGACCGTGCATGCCAGACACGAGGAGAAACATGAGGGAAAATCTCTCTTGAGGGAATATAACAGACAGTATGTCCTTCCTAAGGTAGGTCTATAACATGCAAATACAATATTTCCTCCAAAACAAATAATATGTCCTCCCTAAGATAGATATATAACAGATAATATATCCACAACGTAGGTGGATAACAGATATGTCCTCCCCTAGGTAGGTACTTAAGAGACAACATGTCCCCCCAAAGGTCGGTGTTTAACATGACTAATGGCTGTGTGCCCTCCATAAGGGGGAGGCATATAACAGGTAGTATGCCCTCCGTGAGGTAAGTATATAACAGACAGTATTTCCATTCTAAGATATATATGTATACATAACAAGACTGATGGCTCTGTGCCCCCCCCCCATAGGCTGAATATATAAAATAACTGCTGCCCAATTAGAGGTACTTTCTCTCCACGAGTACTCCATGCAATACGAGAATGTCAGACCATGGGCCCCCGCCATGCCATACGAGAATGTCAGACCATGGGCCCCCGCCATGCCATACGAGAATGTCAGACCATGGGCCCCCGCTTGCCAAAAACAATACTTTTTTTTTTGGTGAGCTGGAGCACGGAAGGCGATTCGCTGGTGGAAAGAAGGAATGTTTTTTAAGACCACATTAAAGCATGACTAAAAGACTTCAATATAAACCCGGTAACATTGGAAGAATCAGCCAAATGATTTAACATTGTGACATTCCTCCTTACCCAAAGGCTCCATACAGTAATGATGATTAAAAAAATCTTGGTCGATTCTGGCAGATGAACAAATATAACATATAAAATGACTAAAAGCAGGGAGGTCCTTTAAAAAGTGTGTTTGAGGCTTCGGAATCCAAACACACTAGCACTCAAACAACTTTGAATCCAAGCGATACTTGAAATGTGTACACTGCTTTTGAGTCCAAATGGTAACATGTGTGTTTTGTGCGTATTCATTATGGGTCCTAGAAAGTGTAGTGGAGAAAACAAGAGTAAACTGACAACTGTTGGAGCTGCAATCGAATTTAAGAAATATCGCATATCCAGGATGAAACCATAACATGTGTGGCTGATGTCGCCACTACATTTGGGATGCCCCAAATCGACTGCACGATTTTGAAAAAGAGGCCAGCAAAAGCAGCTGATGTGGTGAAAGGGGTTACGAGACTGACCCCTGGGAGATCTAAAAATATAAAAGTAGGAAAGAGTTGAAAAGAAACTTCTCTTAGTTTGGATTAATGAAGAACATTTGGCTGGTGATGTCATGTCTGACACAATAATTGTGAGAGAGCAAAGATCCTCCACAGTGATTTAGTGAAAGGCACGCCTGATACTAGAGCCCAAAAGGCGTCGTTTAATACCAGTAAGTGGTTAGTTCAAAAATTTAAGAAGAGATCACGGGGCTATAGAATTTGTGGATCCCAGGAACGGATTCAGTTGGGATTCTAAGGTCCCAGTGTATATTGAAAAAAAGATATTATCTGTATTTGATCTTAAAATTTAAAAAAAATATTTTTTTAAACACATATATATATATATCTATATCTATATACATATATATATATATATATATAAATATATATATATATATATATAAATAAATATATATATATATATATATATATATATATATATGCTTCCAACTTTTGTACCAGTACAAAACAACCCTAAACTGTACAGCTTAGGGAACATCATAAAAATAATTGAATATGAAATGATTGAGGTTAAAACTGCATGGTCTGCACCAGTGGTCTACAAATCGCTTTTCGGGAGCCACATGTGGCTCTTTAGCGACCTGAGTGTGGCTCGGCCAGTTGACCACAAATCGGTTTTGACTCCAAAAAAACATGCTTCTCGACAGGATCTTGAATGATGATAGGTTAAAACTGCATGGTCTGCACCAGTGGTCTACAAATCGCTTTTCGGGAGCCACATGTGGCTCTTTAGCGACCTGAGTGCGGCTCGGCCAGTTGACCACAAATCGGTTTTGACTCCAAAAAAACATGCTTCTCGACAGGATCTTGAATGATGAGTTTGCGACCACTGGTCTACACTTGTCATCAATCATATATCTTTATAATCACCTATCTAACCGTGGCACAGACACTGGATCATCTCAACTGTCTTGAAGCAATTTCCAGTTTTCTTGGTTGACTGAGTTTTAAATCCCCCACTAGTTTAAAAGTTATGATTTGAATAAAAATGTATCTTTGATCAAAGAGAATACAATTATAATTTTATAGTTTGTAGCTTCTGAAAAATTTAAGTGAAATCAAATATTCCTTCAAATGTGAAGCAGGACTTAGGTAGTTATTTTTCATTTATAATAATCTTTATAAATAATGTAAAAATGTAATCATTACATCTTTAATCTCCAAAAACAAAGCTAAAGACACTGCACACTACTTTTGTATCTGTATTACACATGAAAGCTAAAAATCAAAAACATTTTTTTTTTCCAATTAGGATCTCAACCCAGAAAACCTGGTATCTAAGCTGAACCGTGATGGCATTCTGACCATAGAGGCCCCCTTGCCCATCACAGATGGTCCCAAAGACAAACTCATCCCTATCAAACATGAATAACAGCTACAGCCTCTATAGGAAAACAAGACCGATCTCAACATGAAATAAATTATGAGCAGTAGCTGAACCATAGGAGCGGATTGCACGATTATTGTACCATGCTCATGCTTAGTTGGAGACTGATTTAAACACTTTAGGCTTCCTGTGCTGTTTCCAGTGTACTTGGCTTAATTTCACATATAACTTTTATTTAAAAAAAAAAAAAACTATCCTTAACATATCTTTGACTATAAATTCAGCCTTTGGCTAAAGCAGTGGTTCTTAACCTTTTTGGAGGTACCGAACCCCAACAGTTTCATATGCGCATTCACCGAACCCTTCTTAATAGGAAAAATTAAATATGATTTTTTTTTCCTTTTTCTTGGACCTCCGCCAAACCCCTAAGACTGACTCACCGAACCCCTGGGGTTCGATCGAACCCAGGTTAAGAACCACTGGGCTAAAGTGATATTGTAAAAAAAAAAAAATTAAAGGATAAGCCTTGACTGCAATGTTGAAACAGATTAAAATTCTAAAGATAAAGAAAAGTCGATCTAACTTTTATAGAGACTGTGCATTTGTATTTATATATCTCATTGTGTCTTATTCTTATTCAGTGTTGTCTTTTTGATACAATTTCAAAATATTACTAGTTCTGCTTCATCTTAAATAAATTATACATATTATGCTAACTTAAAAGTCATGGCCTTATTTTTTTGTTATTAAATTTTCGTTTGTCAACATTTAAATCACCTACGGCTGGGCTGCAGTCTCCTTCCAAATGTGTCTTAAATAGACAGTATACCTCAAAATATCTTTATCCTAGGTTTATAATACATATTTGGTCATTCCATTTACCTACTTTCTTGACTATAATACATATTTGCTCATTCCATTCACCTACTTCCTAGATTTATAATACATTTTTCGTCATTCCATTCACCCACTAAGCATTCTAAGACCCAAAGAGTTCTGATCAAAATATATTTTCTCTCAATCCTGTGAACAGCTGTCTAGTTTGCCACATTTTTTCCCAACTCATGATGACAATGACTTTTATAAAAAAAAAAGAAAAAAAAAAGAGCCAACCTCCCATTTCAGCTAATAATACTGGCCCCTTTAAGGATGAAACTCATTAGATGAAAAAAATCAATTTGTCGTTTGTTGCTTGTAAGAATTAATCAGTAATGAATTTTATACTCTCAAAATAATACAAAAGAGATCAAACAGTGAAAGCATACCTCCCAGGACATGGAGCGCCAAGTAAACATAATCATTTGTTTTATCTCAAAGACCAGCGAAATTATATTTTCCCCAGCTTTTAGTGACATTGGTAACACAGATAGCATTTACTGGCAATAATTAATAGGTTAAGCTTCCCTCCTCATCTGATTTCCCAAGTTTAACTGAAGTAATTAGTAATAATTACACAACCTACAATTTTATTCCCTTATCTCAATGTATCTAAATAATAAGTTGATAATCAAATAAAACCAGATATGATGCTTGTTTACAGAGCTCAATAAACATTTATACATAATGTAGATGTTGTAAATAGAAAGTATTAAGCATTTTATAATAAGACAATAGAATTGATAATGAAAATAGAAAGCTACAAGAAATTCTAGCTTATATGTAGCAGACCAAGTGAACTTGTGACAACATACACCTTACATAAATTGAACAATGCATTTTAAATTGTGAAAAAACGAAAAAGGGGAAAATTTGGCTGGCTAAAAGTTCTAAAGACTTATTGACCCACTTCCCCTCAAGCAATTGAACTGAAATTTAACACATTGACTTGTTGCTGATGACAAAAAAATTCTATCAAATTTTCAGCTCAACCGCTACAAAAATATGTTTTTCCTTTTTTTCATGGGGAAGATGGAATACAATTCCAGATAGCGACGCGAAATGAGGTTTAAAAAAAAAATTTCACAAGTTCGTTTTTTGCATGCTATTTTTTTGGTTTCTCTAAAAAAGATTTATTATACAGCTTTCTGTGTGTAAGAAGCCTTTATTGACATTAGAAGGCATTTCAGATCAGTTGCAACCCAACAGACTACTGGAACTGGACAAGGATGTTTTAAGTGTATGTGTAACACTAAGTGAAAGTGTCAAAAAAGAAAATGCTTTTTCAAGTAATGACTGCTACAATAAATAAAAAAAACTAAAAAGCTGTTTTGTACTTTATCTTATTTTATGCTGTTATTAAAGTAAATAAAAATATAAAGAAGTCTAATCTCTTTGTCTTTGCGTGTTAGTGTTATTATATAAAGTCCTGACAATGAGAATACCAAGTGATTCTAGTCAAAGTGTGAATTACATAAGTCATAACTATAAGCTGTTATACACTTTACCTATAGCATATAGTCTAGTAATAATAATAATATAATAGACCAGTGGCCGGCAAACTCATTAGTCAAAAGAGCCTAAAATCAGCAGCAGGACAATTAAATTTTTTTGAGAGCCAAATTTCTTTTCAAGAACCTGTCAAGAGCTATGTTTTTTGGAGTCAAAACCAATTTGTGGCCTACTGGCAGAGCCGCACTCAGGTTGTTAAAGAGCCGCATGCCATTTGCTGACCACTGTAATGAATTAACTGAACAAACTAATCTTATGATCTTGACTTTAAAAATATGTTATTTAGCTTAGGAGTTCAGTTAAGACTGACTAGAATAGACTACCTTAGTTAGGTCTTAGTCACTTAATTTTCTAAGTCTTAGAGTAGAATTAGTCCTAGAAAAGTAAGTACATTAATATTTATTGGTAATATTGCAGTTCAGGTGCGTATATTATTTCTGATCAAATTTCATATTATCGCATGTAAACTTACGTGTATTTTTCAATAAATTAAATCCAGGCAGTGATAGTTAACTAATACTTAATTATACAACCTTTATTTTCGTTTTATTTTATTCCTAAAGCGTCTTTGAACATACCCCAACTTTCCATAGCTCCTTTTGATTTATATTTTTTCACCCTGTTGCTAGAATTTTGCTCACCTATAAGTTGGTATGCTAAACGAAATTTTTAAACTGTAGGCATGTTCAAAAAAAGAATGAAATAGGGGTGGGGGGTGTTGAACTTAATTAGATGTTCCAATATTTTATAGGGGCCCAAAATTCTTTTTTTTTTCTTATATGGGGTGTATAAATATAATTCCAAACAAAGGCTCCTGAATGGGTGAATGGAATGAGATCAAACTTAGTACACATACACTTCATTATCCATTTTCAAAAACCGTTACTGAAGGGTAATGAACTCAGAATTTTAATTTTTCCTAAAACTAGCCAATATACACGGCGTCACTCATGATGGCATTCTGAAATAACCATCTTTAAAAGCCCATTAGCTAACATCAAAATTAAGGGGCCTGTAAAAAAATACAGGGGCGGGGGCAGTGCCAGTGGCGTAGCGCCAGTGGCGTAGCGCCAGTGGCGTAGCTAAGGGGTGGCAGAGAGTGAATTTATTTTTTGAACATGCCTTTAGTTTGGAAAGTTAAGCATCTCAATATGCATTTGTTTAGTTTCATTTAATTTAATGTATGTTAATTTTTAAGTTCATGATTATTATGTTTGTTAAATGGTATGTACAGCGTGGTGAGCCCAGACCTAGGCTGAGGTACCACACTTTATAAAATTACCACTTATAATAATAATTTATTGCTTCGTTTTTTGTGAATATGCTTTCAGTTGAAAAATTGCAATCTGGTATGTCGGGGGAAATGGTAAATTAGTAAATTGCAATCTGGCATGTAGGGTGAATTTTTAAAAAAATAAAAAATGGAGAGATCGTTTATGCTACCGGCTAATAGGGGCTGTGAAATCAATAACTAGAAAAGTTTATGAATGCTGTACTGTAAAATTTAGAATTTAGTGTTAGTGTTTAACTAATTATACTCATACTGTCATGACTAAATTTATAAAGAATACACGTAAAGTGTAAGTTGGCGTAAGGTTAAAACGCGATAATACGAAATTCCATCAGCAATAAAAATACAAACCTGTCAGCCCTGAACTGCAAGATTACATATTTATTAATAAATAGATCAGAAAATCAAAATAAAATGCCTTTTTTGACTTTAATCTTAATTTTTATTTCAAAGACTAACTAAAAGTCTCAGACCAGACTCAGTGAGTCAGTCACTTCAACTTCAGTCAGTGTCAGTCTCGTCCGACTGAGTTCACCGAGTTAGTGAAACTGAGACTGAGTTCAGTGACTGAGTGTAGACTAGTCTACTTTCTTTTTTTTTTAGATTAAAACGTTGCTTAATCTGAACAAAATTATACTTTTTAGGTGGTCTAGATAACATGTATGAGCCAAAATAATATCATTACCGTGTACATACCCTTTACAAGTAACTGCAGCCAAATTAATTTTAACTATTATCAAAAGAGTACTTTCATTTGTAAAATAAGATTATGATTCCTTATAATTCCATTCCACAATTTATATCTAACAGCGGAAGTCAAAACATTGTACAGGATCAAATTAACCTGCACTTTCGTGTGACTCGTATGAAACAAAGTATCCTGCAAAAAACCGAAATCATGGCTTAACACCTACTTATTGTTAAGACATAAGTTCTGTTTCATTTATCTTTAAAAATTGTTTGAATTTTTAAACGATAATAAGAGAGATAGACTGCAATCAGGTTTGGTAGAAGGAAATACCTTTTTTCACTTATTTTCTTCTTCTCTTAAATTAACTGCAAATCAAGTTATATAGAGAGAGATTGCAAATCAAATCTCTCTCTCTCCCCCCCCCCCCCCCCCTTTTTTTTTTTTTTTTTTTTTTTTTTTTTTTTTTTCTTTTTTTTTTTTTTTTTTTTTTTTTTTTTTTTTTTTTTTTTTTTTTTTTTTTTTTTTTTTTTTTTTTTTTTTTTTTTTTTTTTTTTTTTTTTTTTTTTTTTTTTCTTCGCTTTTTATTTTGTACCGTTTCATTCTCTTTAGTTTTTATTTATAATTTGTAATATACTTTTTGTATTTTATAGTTTTTTTATACTTTTTATTTGATTTTTGTACATGCTGCTTTATTATTAATTTTAGTTTCCCCTTTAAGACCTCCTTATTTTCCAATGCGTCATCTGTACTCCCGACACTCACTTTCTCTTGTCTTTGGCTTTTGTCCTGCAGTGCTCCTCTGCCTCTATGCCTCCTTAAAACAGCTAAGAGCCAACTTCGTGCCTTTACTTTGACTGTCTTTACCTAACTTACACCTGAGCTACCTATCGCTTCTAGGGAATTGGCTTCACTCTTTTTAATTTATAATGTAGGCCTACATCTCAAATCTCTTCATAATTTCATACGTCTCCGTATTAAACTTAAGGCTTCACTTGTAATTTCGTCTCCTAAAAGTCTAGACTTTTATGTCTCTAGAGAAAAAATAGCACTTCAACGCATGCGTATTCTTACGCACAGCCATGGGTTTGTCATTGTCTAACTCAGTGCCATCCATTTTGGCCTACTTACTTAAAGATCGCATCCTGGGCTAACTGCTTATCCTATGACTTTATTAGAACAATTACCCACCAACTCAAACGCGAATTATTTCTCTTCCTTTCTACCAATAAATAAAAAAATAAAAAACAACTCGATCATCTGAAGTCTCGTCAAACTCTCACCGGCAATAACTTAGTCGTACGCACCCCTCCCCCCCCCCCCCCCCCCCCCCCCGATCTCCCACTCTCTGATGACGATAGGTCTCTTCTCTCTACAGATATTAACTATATTTTCCTAGCTTGAACATTTTCTTCAGTTCAATTTTTTAATGTCTCA